CCTGTATATAATAAAATTCACTTACTTTTTACATCAGTTCTCTGCCTCTGTTTGTTACTAGTACTTGCTCACGTTGACTCTCTCCTACAACCTGATACATACCAGGCAGCAAAAAATGGATGGATGCTAGTTAGAGCTAATATCACAGAGCCTTGTAAATATTTAGCTAACACCACCCTAAGAGCAACAAATAGTTCAGTTCTGAAGACTAAAGATGCCCATCTCTTTGAGTCATTAGGATCAGTTCATCCTCACTTCTCTCAGGTGGTTCACCCGGTCTGTTTTCACATGCCTTTTCACAAGAGTGGAGTTTTTCTTGGCACCACGCAGGGATGTAAGCGTATCTTGAGCGCCACTTCTACAGCACTGCCCTGGGACGCTTCTGGGTGTCACCTCCCGGGAAAGGCATCCAAAGCCAAGTTTTCTTTAAAATTCCATAATGTCAGTCATGTTTTTTAGCTTATTGTGTGGCCTGGCGATTGTGGATTAGGAAGTCATCAAGATTCAGTCTGGCTTTGTGGTACCCACTACTTTCAGGCTTTAACCCCGCTGTGGTCCGGCACGTGTGCCCTAGTGGATTTGAGACCTGCCATTTTGGTACTGGATTCTCTGGTGTATAACACCCACCACTACCTGCAGTTCATGGCGGAGCCCAGACCCCTGTACCGACAGAAGAGGTCTGAGGTGATCTCAGCCGGGGTGAAGTTCTTGAGTGGGGTGCTCCACTGGTGGGGGACGGTGAATAATGCACATCACATTGACCAGCTTCATACGAGGCTTGAGAATCTGAGGGAGATTATGGAGGARGGATTCTCAGCCCTGGGTCCCTTTGTTATCGCCACCAGAAACATGCTCTTACAACATAAAATGGCTTTGGACCTGCTTTTCGCTTCCCAAGGTGGTCTCTGTCGTGATTGGTGACTCTTGTTGCACTTACATTCCAGATGCTTCCGGAAACATCACTCAAACTGTACAACACTTGAATCAACTCCTGGCCGACATGAAAGCTGATGATATCATTGAGCCTAAGGGATAGGACTGGTGGTCTTGGCTCACAGCCGGAGGATGGCAAGCTTGGTTAGTTAGGGTCCTAACACCAGTAGTCTGTGTGTTTGTTTTGCTTATGATTTGTTCCTGCTGCATAGTTCCCATGATCAAAAAATGCGTCACCTCTGTCTTTGCATCCCTCTTCCTGCTACATGCTCATCAATACTTGTTCCCAGAGAGGAGCAGGACTTTTGATGACCCCTTATCTCTGGTGACCTTTAAACTGAAACTTACAATCAGTTTGTAAATAAGTTAAACAGTATTTTGTATTTCATTATCATTATCCTGAGGGAAAGTTTTATTCTGAAGCAATAACATTTCTTAAGTCTCAACTAAAAAAAGGGACCTACAGAAGCTCATTTGTTTTTGACTCCTATATTAACAAAAACAAAGAAAACAAAGAGTGTTTTATGATGTTCATAAGCTTTTTCTTTTAACAAGCTTACATATACAATGTTTTTATTATATGCTTATAAGTTTTTCTTGACACGCTTGCCTGAAAAGGGGCTTTTATTACATGGTTAAAAGAGTACAACAAGCTTTTCTTAACAAGCTTAAATAAAATAAAGTTTTTATTACATTTTTATGAGCATTATTAATAAGCTTTGATATATCTTTGAGGTTTTTATGTCTCATTATGATTAAAATTGAAAAAAAGTGTGACATAACACTGATTATGTTTTGATTCTCATTACAAGACTGGTTTGGGTTTTGAATCTACTTATCATCACATTTTTAGTTTTTAAGGTTGTTCTTCTACACATTTCATGATTCTAATGTTTTTATAAGTTTGATGTTTTCTTACCCCCACTCTCTTTAAATAAAATGAATAAAAATGATAAACAGGGGGGAATGATAGATATTTTTAAACTTTATCATTTTTTATATTTGATCCTATTGCTTTAATCAACTGTATTAAATATGTCTTTCTTGCTGCCATAATTTTCATCTCTGCAGCTTTGAGCTGCACTAACTGATAAGAAGCAACCCTGTGATTGGTCAAGATGTTTCTCTCTGTGCTCTGTTTGTAATAAATTGTACAGCTTTTCCCAGCAAAGATCAGAACTTTCTGCTGAGACCTGTCTTTTAAGCATCCTCAGAAACTTCTCACTCTTTGCAAAGAGAAAATAATTTAATGTAAACTCTGACACTGTTTTCTTCCTCCTGTCTGCCTTTGCTCCAGCCCTGCCCACTCACACCTGATCCTCATGTTTCTCCCCCAGGTGTTCCCTGTTTGTGCTCATTAGTCTCATCTTTATATTCTGTGTCTTGTCTTCACTTCCCTGTCGGGTCATTGTTGGGTTATATTCTGTATTGTGCCTTGCCTTGCCTTGCCTTGCCTTGCCTTGCCACTTAAGAGTTTTTTGAGCTGCCCAGTCAGCACCTTTTTTTGTTAAATAAATACTTTGTTTTTTGGAACTTTGAAACTGCCTGCATCATGTGTTTATTCCTGCCTGAGATTCGTAACATAAACAGCTAGTTGTCAGAGACTGGTCTCACATCAGGCTCACACTAGAAGTCCTCTAGATCAGAGATTCTTAACCTGTGGGCCACGAGCGCCACCTTGAGGGCATCAAAAGAACAACAGTTTTTAACTTTGGGCCGCAGAGGGCCGCTGGACCGCATTGATTTTAAATAGTGTGCAATTCACTTTCTCACCACTAGTGTCAGTAGTGCGCCACTCAGATGTTTAACAACTTTTTTAATGTGTAGAAGAAGAACCTTAGAAACCTGCCGAGAATGGAAACCTATTTTAAATTAAACGTAGAAGCAAAAATGAAGGTAAGTTATCAAAAAGGGTCAAAGTTTGTCACTAATATGAAGTGCAGCCTAAATAATATTTTTTAACATAAACAACAACAAAAATAGACAATTCAATAAATAAAAC